AATATAAATATGATAGTACACATCTATAATCAGTACATCAGTACTTAGGAATTTGAGGCAGGGGGACTGCCACAAACTTGATACTAGTCTGGTTTATAGAGGAAGTACAAAGACAGTTATTCATGCACCTGGACTACACAGGTAGCTTGAGACTAGCCTAGTTACACGTTAAGAGTGTGCTATAAAAGCTCACTTTTCTGTCTCCAGAGTACTAGCATTTCATTAAACAACGTAGGGAAGCAATCTCCTAAGAGAGATTGCAGAGGACTTGAATGACTGTGGTTATTAACTCAAAGCACAGTGTCTTAGGTAGGGCTTCTACTGCTGTGTTGACTGAAAACAATTTGATAGAAGGAAAGGGATTTTTTTTTATATTCTTAATTGTTTTTATTGTCTGAATGTTTGAATGTTTTGCCTATATATATATGTCGGTTCACTATGTGTATAACTAGTCTTGTTGAGGTCAGAAGAAAGCATTAGATCTGCTGAAACTGGAGTTATAGGCAGCTATGTGCCATTGCTTTAGCCCCCAAAAGGATACATGTCATCTTGTATTTCCAGGTGATAATGCATCACTGAGGGAAGTTATAGCAGAACCTGAGGCAAAAACTGATAAGTGATGTAAGGAATGCTGTTTACTGGCTTGCTCCTTTTGCCTTTTTATGTTTTTTGTTTTTTTGTTTTAAAGACAAGGTCTCATTCTAACTCTGGCTGGCCTGGAACTCACTATGTAAGCCAGGATAGCCTCAAACTCACAGATTCTCTTGCCTCTGCCTCCCAAGTACTGGGATTACAGGTATGCACTATCATACCTAGGTCTTGGCCTGTTTTCTTATATATTCCAGGACTATCTTCTTATAGGTGGGACTAAACACAATTGCAGGGCCTTCCCATATTAATCATAAGTTAAGAAAATGTTTCACAGGGTTATCTAGAGGCTAATCTTAGGGAAAGGTTTTCTCAACTGGTGTCCCTTCTTCTTAGATAACTCAAGTTGACAAACAACAACAAAAAATAAAACAAAAACAAAACAACAACAAAAAACCAAAACCAACCCAACCAGGACACACAGTGAAAACAAAAAAATGAAAGAAGGTATTTACCAAAGAGCCACAGAACAAGCAGGGGCCTGAACCCTCCTGCTCACAGACGATCCGCCCACAGACCAGACAGTTATTGATGAGTTTGTGCTTCTGGCCCAGGCAATCACACGGGTGACGACCAGGAAGCAGAACTGCAAGTTTGTCCTGTCCCTCTCTTGTATATAAATTGACAAATCTTGTCTTCTTCTTTACTGAGTTGTTGCTTTCTTGTGCCTAATAGTACAAAGACATCACAGGAGCACTGATCAATGACAGAAAAGACTCAAGGAGGAAACCCTTACTTCTGCTGAGCAACTACTTACACCTTATCCAAAAATTACCAGAGAAGGGGAAAACACAGATTTCTTACAATCAGGGGCCCTGATAAAGACAAGGTAATTAAACCTAGCAATTGCTTTATTTGTTAGTAGTTCTCAATCACTTAATATACCTTAGAGCAAGGTAAATGTAGCAATCAGCTTGATATGTTTTTAAAAGAAATTTTTACACATGTAAAAACATGCATGAGTATGTGCATACTATGTATGGTGTTCTTGTAGAGGTCAGAGGACAACTTGCAGGAATCAGTTCTCCCTTTCTACCATGTAGATTCATTCTCTCTTTCTACCTCTGGATTCAGAGGACAGAACTCAGTCTTGATGGTAAGCACTTTTATCCAGAACCATATGCTGTCCCTTGAGATATTTAATACTACATGCAGATGTTTTATTATTCAAATGTAGTGAGTTGGTGTAGGCATAATGGTTTCGTAGACTGTGTAAAGTTTACCCCTGTGTTATTCAAATGCTGATTTCCCTGCCCTCATATTGTATTTCAATCCAGACATGGCATTGTAATACGTAGACCAAGAATTTCCTGTCTCAAGTTTGTGTAAACAGTTCTTACCATTTATTCTTTGCCTTGTCAATAAATGCCAATCACAAGCCAGGTGGTGGTGGCGGCGCACGCCTTTAATCCCAGCACTAGGGAGGCAGAGGCAGGCAGATTTCTGAGTTTGAGGCCAGCCTGGTCTACAGAGTGAGTTCCAGGACAGCCAGGGCTACACAGAGAAACCCTGTCTCAAAAAAACAACAAACAAACAAACAAACAAACAAACAAAAAATATGCCAATTACCCAATGGCTGGACAGAATAGAGAATAGGTTGGGATTCCTGCCAGCCAGAGGAAGGAGAGAGGGAGAAAGGGAGATTCAGATGAGCAAGGAGGATGGAGGAATTGGAGCCAGGTGGAAGGGGTCTGGAGAGAGATCATAGAAACACACCTGAAGCCCAAAGAGCCAGATCAATATTAATATGCAAATAACATGGGATGGAGCAGTGAGGTAGCCAGATTAGCACAGAAGGTAAAGGTAGATAGATCATTTAACTGCTCAGCTATTGAGGTGCAGATTTAAATAACTCTTGGTTTTTACTGTGTGGTTATTGGGGAATAGTATAAGGTAAATAAATAATTGCTGCCAGATTAATTCAGTGTTACATTTATATGAAAAATAATTCATTTACAAATTGAGTTATTTTTTGTTTTTGTTTTTTAGTCACATCTGGCTTAAAACTATTAAGTTCAAAGTAGAAGATGACATTGATTCTCCTGCCTGTACTTCCTGAGTGCTGGGGTGACAGGCATACATGACCACGCACTTAATAAGCAGTACAGGGATGGAACACAGTGGTTCATGGGTGCCAGGCAAGCTACATGCCCCAGCCCTATTTTTCCTTTTTTTTTTTTTTTTTTTTTTTTTTTGTGGTGCTGGCTATTATTGAACTACTGCATTATGAACACCAGGCATATGCTCTGCTACTGAGCTATATTCCTAACCCTTAATATCTTGAACCACAGCTAGAGAATGCCTTTAGGGGTTAGCTAGATGATTCATTAAATACAGATGCTTGGCATGCCAAAATGACCTGAATTTAATACCCAGGGCCACATCATAAGAGAATCAACTTCCACCAATTGTATGCATGTGCATGTACACAGAATAAATAAATAAATAAATAAAACTAAGAATTAAGGGCTGGAGAGATGGCTCAGCAGTTAAGAGCACTGACTGCTCTTCCAAAGGTCCTGAGTTCAATTCCCAGCAACCACATGGTGGCTCACAACCATCTGTAATGGGATCTGATGCCCTCTTCTGGTGTGTCTGAAGAAAGTAATGGTGGTGTCCTCATATGCACAAAATAAATAAATAAATCTTAAAAAAAAAAAAACTCTAAGAATCAAATACTTCTAAATGTAGATAACACCCATAGATCTCAAAACAAAGGCAATCAATAGGATAAAAAAATCATTAAGAAATTTATTCATTCAGAAATGACTAAGAAAGAAGCAAGAGTGTAGCTGGTGGGACAGCATGAGGTAAGCATGCATACAGCCATACATTCAGTCCCGATTACTGGGGAGGGGGGAGATAAGAAAACAAATAACGTTATAAAAAATGATCACAAACTTAAATAGGAATTTCATAGCAACAGATATTCAAATGACCAACAGAAGCATGAAAAAGTGTGCAACACCTTTTGCAATTAAAACACTACAACACGGGCTGGTGAGATGGCTCAGTGGTTATGAGCACTGACTGCACTTCCCAGCAACCACATGGTGGCTAACAACCATCTGTAATGATATCTGATGCCCTCTTGTGGGGTATCTGAAGACAGCTGCAGTGTACTTACATATAATAAATAAAAAAAAATTAAAACAAAACAAAACAAAACAACACAACACAACACTTGAGTGTTGTTCACAGGTAAAGTACTTCCGTAGCATAGACTAGGCTGTGGGTATGGGGATCAAAATAATGAATACATAAACTAAACATTTCTATAATTCTTTTTTTTTTTTTGGTTTTTCAAGACAGGGTTTCTCTGTGTAGCCCTGGCTGTCCTAGAACTCACTCTGTAGACCAGGCTGGCCTTGAACTCAGAAATCCACCTGCCTCTGCCTCCCAAGTGCTAGGATTAAAGGCATGCGCCACCACTGCCTGGCTTCATTTCTATAATTCTTGATGCATGGTGTCAATATTATTTATTGACAATTGACAGGACAATGTCAATATGAGAGGAAATATCTCAGTGATTTAATGTATATCTATCTTATTAATACAGACATCTTGGTTTGATTCATGCCTTGGGGCAGAGGCATGATGTGAGACTTTTGGTGTTAAAATTGGAAAAGTTCCCAGTAAACCCGGAGGAGCATGAAGCCATCCTAGTTCCTACTGAGACTGAACACAAACATACTTACTGGTCAGATGTTTTTTGTCACTTGTCGTGATCTTTGTAAAGTTTGCTCTCCTTGTTTTTGCATTAGTTTTTAGTTTTTAGTTTTCTAAGACAAAGTCTCATGCTGTAGCTCTAGCTGGCCTTGAATTCATCATGAAGACCAGGCTGGCCTTGAATTTAAGGCATTCTTTCTGCTTCAGACTCCTGAGTGCTAGGACTACAGGCTTCAGGTCACCATGTTCACCTCCACTCATGTTTTTGCATGTTATCCTACTCAATTGTCTTATCCCATCTTAAATTAATTAATTTTCTTCTTTAGAGAAATTTAGCTTGTCAAGTTGTGCTGACTATAAATGTTTCAGTTGTCCAGGTTGCAGTGACTATGGTCTGAGCTCTCTTGAAAGGCTGAGGCAGTAAGATTTTGAGTTCAAACAGCTTGGGATACTAGGCCAGCCTGATTTAAAATAAGTTTTGAAGACTGAATATGGATAATAATGGTAGAAGGGAAAACTTTCAAACCAAGAATAGAGACTCATTATGCATTCCAAGGTGGCTTTGAATTCACTAAGTAGCCCAGGTTGGCCTGGAACCCTCAATCTTCCTGCCTAGGTCTCTCAACTGCCTGGCAGTCTTGTTTTTGTTTGTTTGTTTTGGTGTTTATTTTGATGTAGAGCATGGTGTAAACAACCCCCCCCACACACACACACACAAATTATGCAGTCAAGTTTCCCCCATTTGGGGAAATCACAGCAGTCAGCACATTCAGAGTGCTATGGATAAGCCTTGTCCTGGGAAAACCACCTGCAATATCACGGTGTCTCTCCTGCCATGTAAGTATGCCTGGCAGTTTTCATAACATCAAGAAGCATATCATTATTTAGTTCTTACTGCCCTCTCACACGCTGAAGCTGAAAGTAGGGTGCTTCATTAACTATTATTCATCCAGGGCTAGGAGTGTAGCTCAGTGGCAGAGTGCTTGTCTCATGCACATGCACAAGGTCTTAAGTCTGATCCTCAGTATGAAATAAGTCTTATAGAGAGTGGTGGCACACACTTGGGATCTCAGACCTTGGCGGATAGAGATAGCAAGAGCAGGCGTTCAAGGCTAACAGCAAGTTAGATGTCTGTCTAAGCTGCATGGTGCCTTATCTCAAAAGGAAAAAAGGCCCACCACTACATATAGAGAGTAATATGTCAGCATTGTCAGCTCTGTCCCTAAGACTCATCAGTCTGTTAAATCTGACAGTGTAGACCAATTTCTTCACTTTGTCTCTAAAACATATTAGTCATTTTCTCTTGTCCACATAGCCAGGAAAAGCTTACTTTTGTAAGCACTTACCTTGGCCAAATCTAAAGGTGTTTTGACCTCCACAGTCACATCAGGTTCAGGAAACGCAAGAACTTCCTGTTTGTTTCTTCCTTTCCTCCTACTCCGCTTTAGCTGGTCCACTGATCTCTGTCCATCTAAAATTTCTTTAAAGAATAAAATAAAATACACACAGCTACAGAAAGAGACTAGTAAGTTTGATTAGTTTCTATAGCTAAAACCTGAAGGTAATTCTCTTTTTTAAAAAAGAATGCATGTTAGCTCTTGCTTTCTTGATCTCTTGCCTCTAGCTCCTCTCGGTCCCCTCACTCCTCTCCCCTTCCCTTCCCCCTCTCTCCACGTGGTCATGGCCGGCCTTTACTCCTCTACTTCTCTCCTCTCTCTCTCCCTCCTTCTTTCTCCGCCATCTTCTCCCATTTCTCTCCCCCCACCTTTGCCCTCTGCCCTGAATAAACCCTCCCCACCTTGGAAAAAAAAAGCATATTAATGCTGTATCTGCATGTATACCTCCATGCCAGAAGAGGGCACCAGAGCTCATTACAGATGGTTGTAAGCCCCTATGAGGTTGCTGGGAATTGAACTTAGGACCAATGAAAGAACAGTAGGAGCACTTAACTGCTGAGCCATCTAGAAGGTAGTTCTTAATATTTTCAGTCAAGAAGTCAGGCAGAACTGCTCTCAATTAAAAATTAAACCACCATTTTCATGACTGTGGTCAATGATGAATAATTTCAAACAGGGTTGGTGCTTGCCTGCCATGCAAGCAGCCCTGGCCTGAATCCCAGCACTACAGGAAAAACTCAAGATATGACTGAGTGGAGGCTAGTAATGTAAACTCAGAAAGTCTGATACTTTACACTGTGTAGTAAAAGCATATTATTTGGTTTGGTGTTCATCTCTTGAACTATATAAATAGATACCTCTAAATATCATTCATACTATAATCAGTCAATACTTTCTTTCAGATATATGTATCTTTGAAAGTATTTATAAAAATAGGGCTGGAGCTGGGCATGGTAGGACATGATTTTAATTATTTAGCACTTAAAGAAAGAGGCAGACAGATCTCTGAGTTCAAGGCCAACCTGGTTTACAAAGTGAGTTCCAGAACAGCCAGAGCTCCGTAGAGAAACCTTGCCTTTGAAAAAGAAAAACACAAACAAAACAAATCAAAAGAGATGACGCAGCAGTTACTATATTGCCTAGGCATGGTTCAATTCCCAGTACACACACATGGCAGCTCACACCATCTGAAACTCCAGTTTTAGGGAACCCAGTTCCCTCTTTGGGCCTGCAAGGGCACCAGACATGCACATGTCAGAGACAATCATGCAGGCATTATACCCATACACATTAAATAAATATTTTAAAAATATTTTAAAATATATTTATAAAAATGCCTTTTTTTTTTTTTTTTGTAGTATGGGGAATGGAACACAGGCTCTCACACAGGCTAAGCAAGTGTCTTACCACTGAGTGAGGATTGGGCCCTTGAGAGATATTTCTTTAATCCATGTATAACTTTTTGAAATTATCCTAAAGCCACAATTGTGCCTGAAAAATGATCCTTTTGTGAATTTGCTGTAAATTTAAAAAAGGTGGCTGGTACTCAGAGTGGTGGAACACACTTTCAATCCCAGGACTTGGGATACAGAGGCACACAGAAAAGCTTGATAGGTTAGAGCTACGGAACTCAACTTGTGGGTTGTGAACCCTTTGGGGTCGCATAGCAGATAGTCTGCATATTGGATATTTACATTAGAATTCATAACAGTAGCAAACTTACAGTTATGAAGTAGCAACAAAACAATTTTATGGTGGGAGGGGTCACTTCATCATGAGGAACTGTATTAAAGGTTGAGAATCCCTGGGTTAGAACAATATTCATTACTGACTGAATAGACCTAAGCTGAAAATATGCACACATAAGACTCTGCTTAAGTTAGCTATGAACAAGTAATACTCAGTGGCAGAAAACACTAAGGCTTCTGAAGCCAAGCATTTCTCAGTGTTATTTCGATTATTACTTAACCACATTGACTTACCATCTTTTTTCAAGCACTGTTGAAAAGAATCAGAAGTGAACTCTTGATAACTTTTTTGCCATTTGGTTATAAGATCTTCTATGAATTGACCCTTTTTGCCCTCATTTCCCTGGAGAAGGTCTGTCACATATTCTCGTATTTCTTCAGCACTCTCAATTGACAAAACGTATCTAAGGAGGTAAAGATATAAATTGCTGAAACAAAAATAGTTTACTGTATGGCTTTCATAAATCATAACAGAGATGAAGGTACTAACCATTATTCATCAGGGCTGATGGGAGCTTAGCCAAACAAAACTTGCCTAGCATACATGACATTTGGGGTACAATGCTAGCACTACTTCACAAATACAAACAAAAAGCATTCATTAATTTATTAAGAGTGTTTACTTTAGGCCATGCACTCTGCTACAAGCTAAGAATATCAATTTGATGAGGACAAAGACCCTGATTCCAAGTAGGTCATAATCTAACTTATATATGCTATTTATGCATTTACTGTTTTCAGTATTTTAATAAATTGTGGGGCTAGAGAAATGGCTCAGTATTTAAGAGCACTTGAGGATCTTTAACAGGACATGAGTTCAATTCCCAGCACCCACATGGTTATTCACAATCACTCCTAATTCCAATTCCATGGATCGAATGTTTTCTTTTAACCTTTGGAGGTATCAGGCATAAACACAGGACAGGTCCTGAGTTCAAATTCTCAGCAACCACATGGTGGCTCACAACCATCTGTAATAAGACCTGATGCCCTCTTCTGGTGTGTCTGAAGACAGCTACAGTGTACTCATATAAATAAAATAAATGAACAAATACTTAAAAAAAAAAAAAAAAAAAAAAGCACATGCCTTTAATTCCAGCACTTGGGTGGCAGAGGCAAGCGGATTTCTGAGTTAGAGGCCAGGTCTACAGAGTGAGTTCCAGGACAGCTGGGGCTACACAGAGAAACCTTGTCTCGAAAAAACAAAACAAAACAAAACAAAAAAGTAGAAAAAAAAGGAATTGTCCCATCCTTGATAGCATATGCACTAGAAACAGGTGTGCTGAAAACAGCCTGTGGATGGGTTCCCTGGATTCCACGACAGCCATGAATGTAGGGCAACATAAAATTGTAGAATTACATAAAGCATTATAAATGTTTTGGTGGATTTTTTGGTAGCTCTATCACATGATTCTAGAGTGTGAACTCTGTAGATGATAACATCTCTCACAAGGTAAAACACGGGATGTTGACACACCTCAGCAAGTAGAGCTAGGTGCTTTTCACCAAGCCTAACAACCAGAGTTTGGTGTAGAAAAAGAGAGCCAACTCCCACGAGTTGTCCTCTGACCTCACCTGTATACACAGATGTGTGTACACACACATAAATAAATACTGTAATTAAAAATTTTTTAATATTGAATATACTTGTTATATTCTTCTAGCATGATAATGGAATTTTGATTATAATCTATAAACAAACCTATGCATTTATACTTCATTAAGAACATCTTATCTCAAAAAAAATCTTATCTCCAGATTTAATTAATTAAATTTGTTTGGCTGGTTTTGCTTTTATTGTTGTTCTAAGGATGGAACCTCAGCCTTGCATATATCTCTACCACTGAGCTACACTGTGGTCATCGGACTTAACTATAAATTAAATTAAATTAAATTAAATTAAATTAAAAAGAGCTAGAGAGAGCTAGAGAGACGGCTCAGTGGTTAAGAGCACTTGAAGCTTTTCCAAAGGACCTGGGTTCCATTCCCAGCTGCACCTCATATTTGTAACTCAAGTCCCAGATGATCTGATGCCTTTTGGTAGTCTATGATAGCACTACCCACACACAGTACACAGACATGTATGCAGACTAACAACCATACACAAAAAATAAAAATTTTTAAAATTAAAAAATTTAAAGACACAGTGCCTAACTGGGTGATGCATGTCTTCAATCCCAGAACACAAGTGTCAGGAGCAGGTGGATTTCTGGGAGTTTGAGGTCATCCTAGTCTTCATAGTGAGTTTGAGGCCAGCCTGAACTTAACAGTTAAGAATCCTTATCTTACTTAACAAGGAGGTGAGGGGCTGGAGGGCAACTAATAGCACTGGCTGCTCCTCCTGACTTCAGCTCCCAGCCCTCACTCAGATGGTGGGCTCAGAAGCATCTCTAATGGGATCTGATGCCCTCTTCTATCATACAGGCATACGTGCAGCAGAGCACTCATTCACATAAATACATAAATATTGTTTAAAAAATGACACAGTGACTTTTCAGAACTTACACACTCTAACCACCTTGTTCTCCAAGCTTACTAGTCCCATCAATAGAGCAGTTCTTATCAAAAACCTACAAAGTTAACCCTGGAGTTTTCAAACCCTGAAAGAACTAAAGAGCTCCAGGTACATAGTAGTAAATGTCATTTCAACAATTTAACCACTTAAAAGACATGTATCATCCAAACGTTATAAAGCAAGTC